TGGTTGTTCCACTGTGTAAAATGAGATTCGGCACGTGCACGTTTAGTGTTTGGGTTCTAAAGAATCATTTCTTTGCCTTGTTCTGAATCATTTTCCTGACTGTGTAAATGAATTATAGTCGGCCTTCCATTTTTGTGGGGGATCCATTCCGGACCCACCCCCCCATGCGAAAATGGAGACTCAATGATATTCAAGCTCCATAGGCTTGAATGGGGTGCGTGCCCACCAGTCTGCACCCTATTGAAGTTAAAGGAGGTCGCCCCTCTGTGAATATTTAAGTCCGTGGATCTCAAGTCCATGAGAACAGAGGGCCGACTGTAATTTATTGTTTGTCCTATTTCATTCCTGCTTTAGTATGTTATCATTCATCAGCTTTTATTTTACACTGTGAGATGAGGAAACACCCAACTCAGATTAAGGAGGACAGAGGTTCTACCTACAGTTCTACTTTGCAGGGTTGTTGTTGACTAGCTGTTGTTAACTTCCCTCAAACCTCTGGTGACCCTGTGAATGAGGAATGTCCAGAACTCTCTATTCTCAACGGACTTGCTCAGTTCCTAAATCCTCTTTGACCGAGTCTATCCATTTGCTGTGCAGTCTTCATTCCTACTGCCTTCTAACTTTCCAAGCATTACCATCTTTTCTAGTGACTCATGTTTTCTCATGATGTGACCAAAGTACAAAAGCCTCAATTTAGTCCTCCTGGCTTCTAGGGAGAATTCAGATCCCATTTGCTTTTGTACCCATTTGTTTGTCTTTTTAGCCGTCCATGGTAAAAGTAGAATTCTTCTCCACATCTCAAATGAGTTGATTTTCTTTTTATCTGTTTTCTTACCTGTCCAGCTCTTACATGGTGATGGAGAATACAATGGCGTGAACAATCCTCCTTTTAGTGTTCAGTTGTATATCTTTGCACTTTAGAAAAATCCATCATTATGGAGGGCTGACTCTGTATGTGTGTGTGAATGTACACACACACACAGAGAGAGAGAGTTAGCCCTGTGTATTGATCAATTCTTCTAAAGTACATGTAGTTAAAAACATGGGTTTTCCCTTCAGCCCAACATCACTGATCTGCTTTTTCAAAAACAATTGATATGCATATTTGTCAAAATTTCACAATATCCTGTCACCAAAGCCCAATCCAAAAGGATATTATGATACAGTTTTGAAAACCTAATGACTTTTTAAATAAAAGTACAGTATTATTTTCTACTAGAGCATTGCTAGCAATATTTTATTTTAGATGCACTTTAATAACGTGATGGAATTTATGTTTATCCAGAAGCTGATGAAATATGAATATCAAATCCCAGAAATCCAGGGAAATTAGTGGGAAGTGGTATTTTTATATTTGTGGTGGTAGTTGTTTGGTGACTAGGTGTGCTGTTTGGTTTTGTTTCTCTTCTTTGTTTTTATTGTTGTAGAATTTGTAATTACGGTATGTTTTATAGATGCTAATGATTTTGTAAATTTATATAGTTTATACACTTGCCCTTCCATTTTTGCAGACTTGAAGTCCGTGGTCTTGATTCTTCGCAGAGGGGCGAGTTCCACTGGATAAAATTTCACACTATCCTATTTATTTGTGAACCACCTTGGGTCCCTCGTGGAGAAAGGCAGGATAGAAATTAAATAAATAAAAATAAATAAAAATGGTGCGCACACAGGGCCATGCACAGGAGTGCATGGCCATTCAAGCCAATGTGGCTTGAATATTGGTGAGTTTCCATTTTCGTGGGGGGGTCCAGAATGGATCCCCCAAGAAAATGGGGGGAAAGTGTATATGCTATTATTATTGATGTGTTATTATTGAGCCGCCTTGAGTCTCTGTACCGGGAGGAAGATGGGATATATATGAATAGAATTATTGTTATTATTATTATTATTGGAAATTTTGTTTTTATAAAAAAAAAATTAAAAATTCAGTGCAGTGACTTTTCAATCTTATCATTTCAGCCTGATCCCACTACACTGCTGTAGTGCTATAATCCACTTTAACTGTCATGGCAACATCTTATGGAATTGTGGGAATTGCAATTGAGGGAGTGCATATAGAATTCTCTGCCAGAGAGCTCTTGTGCCTTGCTAAACTACAAACCCCAGAATTCCACAGCATGTTGCCATGGCAGATAAAGTGGAATATGGCGTTACAACAATATAATGTGATAAGAACCAAAGAAACAGCGAGAAAGGTCTGAATCCTATTGTTAGCCCCAACTAGATCAAGCCCATTGAATCAGATGGACTACATCAGAGGTTCTCAAACTTTCCTCCTCCAGATGTTTTGGACTTCATCTCCCAGAAGTTGCAGCCAGTGTGGCTAGTGCATAAGAATTCTGGGAGTTGAAGTCCAAAACATCTGGAGATGCAAAGATTGAGAAGCACTGGACTACATGGTGACTTGAGAGCCAGCATGGTGTATTGGTTTGAGCCTTAGACTACAACTCAGGAGACCAGCATTTGCATCCTCGCTCAGCCCTGGAAACTCCCTCAGTGATCTTGATGAAATCTCACAATCTCCACTTCTAAGGAATAGCAATTGCATTTACATGTCTATACTGCTCAATAGTGAACTAAACACTCTCAGTCTAAGTAGTTTATGATCTGTAATCCAATTGCCCCCATTTTACTGAACTATGAAAGGATGGAAGGCTGAGTCAACCTGGAGCCCTCTGGGATTGAACTCACAACCTTGTGGCGGCAGTACTGGCATTTAACCACTGTGTCACCGGTGTCAACAGCAAACCTCTTCTGAATAAACCTTGCCAAGAAAACCCTAGGATAGGGTCACCATAAGACAAAGTGGTCTTGGAGGTATGCAACAACAATTTCTTGTTGTGTGTCTTTTAGTCGTTTCCAACCAATGGCGAGCTTATCATGAATTTTCTGGGCAAGATTTGTTCAGAGGGGTTTTTTTGACCTTGCCTTCCTCTGAGGCCAAGAGAATGTGACTTGCTTAAGGTCACCCACTGGGTTTCCATGGCCAAGCATAGGATTTGAACCCTGTTCTCTAGAGTGGTAGTCCAACACTCAAACTACTACACCACATTGATGCTCATCCTAAACTCTCTTTCTAAATGCTCAAGTCAAGTTTAAGTTCCTGTTGTTGTTGTGTTGTTAACTATCCTTGAGTTGGCTTCGACTCACAATGATCCTGTGGATGAGACATCTCCAAGATGACCTCCCCAACTGAATCTAGCAATTTGGCATGCAGTCTTCCTCTCTTTCTACTGCCCTCCACCTTTCCAAGTATTAACATCTTTTCCAATGAGTTGTGCCTTCTCATGATGTGGTCAAAGTACAATAGCCTCAGTTTCGTCATCTTGGCTTCCACTGGAGTTTCTGGATTTATCTGCTGAAGGACCCACTTCTTTGTCTTTTTGGCTGTCCACAGTATCCCCCACATTCTTCTCCAGCACCATATTTCAAATGTGTTGGTTTTCCTCTTATTTGCTTTCTTCACTATCCAGCTCTCACATCTGTACATGGCAATAAGGAATACTGTGGCTTGGACAATTCTCACTTTATTGCTCAGTTGTATATCTTTCCTTTTTAGGATCTTACATAGTTCTTTCATAGCTGCCCTTCCCATCCCTAGTCGTCGTCTTTCTTGGCTTCAATCACCATACTGATCGATGTTTGATCCTAGGTATGAGGAACTCTTTAACTATTTCAGTTTCTTTGTGCAGTGCTAGAAATGAAGGGACCGAAGGAAAACTTCAGACTCTTAACTGGGAAGATTAATACTCTCATTTCGCCTCTTGGTGCAATCCCATTGCAATTGATTCCAGTGATTCATAGCATTGGTTTAAAACTGATATTACTGACCAGTTTAAAAACTTTCACTTTAGTGGATGAATTAAATTAGCTTGATTCCAGCCTTGAGTAATGTTACTGTTAATGTGGCCAAGGTGACCGGGGGGGGGGGGGGGGGGGGGGGGAAACTAACCTTGGCATCTTTTTGTCGTGGGATGTTTTTTTGTTCACTGCAACACCTGACCTTGACCCTACCTGCTGTATTTTCGGTATGTCCTGCCAAGGATGTGTCAGCCATGACAGGGAAGAAGTTTGCACACCTGGCAAAGTGGATGGCTCAGTGTCATAGCAAAAGGGTGGGAAACGGCTAGAAGGGTAGCACCAAAGGAGAAAAGAGGAAAAGAGGAAGAATGAAGGAGGTGGAGCAGAAAGAGAGAGGTGAAACCATTGCAAAGCAAACTTTAGGCACTGTTCGGTGATCAAGTTTCACTCTGGGGACAACTCTGAGATACTTGAGGGATGTGGGAATGGTAATGCTTATGAGAACCGTCTTGTCAAATTCCAAAGCACTGCTTCTCAATAGAGCAAGGAGAAAAGAAAAGAATGCTAGTTAAACAGTCCGCAGTGGTGGCATCTGGCTTCAGGACAGGTTGTTGGGTTTGGATTTCACAACCATGGCAGTAAGAAACACAAGAGAAGTCTAAATATATTTTTTTCCAGGGCCTCAATCCCCTAAAGGCACCAGATCCTCTCTGATCTTGGAAAGTAAGAAGTGTCAGCCCCGCAAAGGGATACTGATATTCCAGACTAAGGGGTGCATCTACAGCAGGGGCCGGCAACCTATGGCCCCCGGGCTGGTTCCGGCCCAGGTCGCCGGACTTACCGGCCCAGGCGGACCTCTGCTGCCACAACGCGTTTTCTCATCTGTGCGGCTGCGCGCGCCGCGGCCGCAATTTTGATTTCCAAAATGGTGGCCGTGACGCATTTGCGCATGCACAGTACTCCTGCGCATGCGCAAACACATCACGGCCGCCATTTTGGAAATCAAAATGCCGGCCGCAACATGCGCAGCAGCGGCGGCACGCGCAGGGGGCACATGTGGGGGGTGCGCGTGCGCGTGTGAGCGCGTGCGCCGCCATTCCCCCCCCCTCGGCCCAGCGGAGACGAGGAGTTCGGGGGACCGGCCCAGGACCAAAAAAGGTTGCCTACCCCTGATCTACAGTGGTAGAAAGCATGCAGTTTGGTGTGTGGCATACTGGTTTGAGTGTTGGACTATGACTCTAGAGACCAGGGTTCAAATCCCCACTGAGCCATGAAACCTACTGGGTGACCTTGGGCAAGCCACACTCTCTCAGCCTCAGAGGATGGGAATGGCAAACCCCCTCTGTAGAAATATGCCAAGAAAACCCTGTGATAGGTTTGCCTTAGGGTCACCATAAGTCAGAAATAACTTGAAGGCACACAACAACAACAACAACAACAACAACAACAAGAAGCAAATCCATCCTGGAGCCTGCCAGTAGAGTTCTAGTTGATTTGCAGTAGATCAGCAAAGAGTTCTGACTCCCCACTATTTAAAATATCCCTCCTGAATTAGACTGCTGAAATGAGAAAGCCTGGAGTAGAAGAGAAAGACTGCTGTGAAAGGATTGTGAGAGCAATCTAGTCCTCTAGGACTGAAAACTAATTCTAGGCTCAAAGTATGCACAGAGAATCATTGTTCTTTAATCATTGTTCTCTGTGCAAAGTATGCACAGAGAATCATTGTTCTTTATATGGGTGAGATCCTACATCTTGGAACTGGGCTGTAAATTTACACTCATGGTGTTATGTTATGTTTGTACATATTACTTGTACTTATTAGTGAATTGGGACAATGCACCACTGAATGCACAGCCAGATGTGCATGTGGATCTTCATGTGCTGTGCACATCCATAACCCAAATGCACATCCATGTGCAATGTGCAACCAGGTGCAAAGTGGACCACATACACAAAGTAGTCAAAGCCCCTTCTGCAGCCTTGAGTAGAATATGGTTGTCAAATGTCATACTGCTTCAGCAATGGAACATAGGCATGTTTAAGATACAAATAGGATTCTGATCATGCGTCTTTCCTAGCTTTAGGATGTGGATTGTGTCATTCTAGTTAAAAAAAACAAACATCAATCTGACGAGACTGAAGTTTGCCCATACCTGTGCTTTAGGCCAGGGTTGGAAAACCTCAGGCTTCTGAGGTCTTATGCCCACTGCTGGGGTGGGATCTAATGCTCATGAACTATCATGGTCAATAACCATCAACAGATCCTCACAGACCTCTTCTTTAAGCTGGTTAAATCCATCCAATCTACAAAGCAGGCAACCACATTCAGGATTTGTCGTAACTCACCCTGGTGATTCAGACAGTGATGAGGAGACAGATTGCCAGGAATCTGCAGGTCCTGATAAAGATGTTCAACCTGAGACTGAGAGATGCTCCCCAGACACTGAACATCGATAGCTATCATTCATCGAGTGATGATGGGACAAAGAAAGATTATACCACTCCCAGAGGGTTTTTAAGTAGGAGACACTGACCTATTTAGGGACATGGGGTCTTGTGGCTGCTGCCTATAAAGCTCCCAGATACTCCCTACCTGCTTGTTGCTTTCAACCCTCCTTTCTTGGTGACAAGCAGTACTTTCTGGCCTTTGTGTTTATGACCTTGGGCTGGCATTGATTTACAACCCTGTTTTACATCTGGATGGCTTTGTTTATCTGGATTACCCACTTGCAGAACAATTTCTGGACCAGCTGATAACCACCCTCTTGTTTCTCCCTTCCTCTTGCTGTGACTGACCCAGAATGAATTAACTTCTCAACAGCTCTTGTATTCCAAGTGCATGATTCCTGGGATGCTTGCTGACTGGACCAAAGAACAGAATTGAGCTAGGTATTACAGAGTTTTAAGCAGAGGCTGGATGGCCATCTGTTGGGGTTGCTTTGATTGTGTCCTCCTGCATGGCAGAAAGGAGTGGGATGCTTTGATTGGGAGTTCCTGCATGGCAGGGGGGTTGGACTGGATGGCCCTTGTGGTTTCTTCCAACTCTATGATTCTATGATGGCTCTTGTGGTTTCTTCCAACTCGTAGAACCCTATGCTGAAATCGTTACAAAGCTGTCACACAATAAATGGCAAATCTATGTTGAGGCTACCCTTCATCCTACCTAGTCCAGTTTATGTCGCATCTGATACAATTATAATATGGCTCCCCGCCAAAAGTGGGGTACAAGGCAGAGCAATGAGCCTTATAATATTGTCAGAACGTGGTATGTTGAATGGGAAAGAAGACCATTGGTTTTGGCAGCAGTCTATGCTCTTCACAATGTGACGTTCTACCTAGCGTCTGGGAAAGGTATTGCTTTTTGGAGATGTAGTTTTGTGAGTTATTTCGCCCTCTCTGTCAGAGAGCTCTGGTGTCACAACAAACTACACATCCCAGAATTCCATAGCCTTGAGCCATGGCAGTTAAAGTGGTGCCAAACTGCATTATTTCTCCCGTGCAAATTAGACCCTAGCTGTCTTTTTGCAGGCAGACCTTGTTTTGTTATGGGGGAGCTGACTTTGAAAAGAGACTTTCATGTGCTGTGTTTATATTTGTAGTCAATGAAAATAGTAGTCAAAGCCAAGTTGACAGCAATTAGCAACACAAAGTAACTTTTCCTAGCTCTGATTCTATCCACCTATGCCAGCACAGAAATTCAGTGGGAAGCTGCCTTCAGATAGGTCTTGTCTGGTGTTGGCTGTTTTTTATATGCAGCTAGGAATTGGGACACAGAGTTAGGAGGGAGGGAGGGACAATCTCCCTTTCTCCAAAAATCTAGACAACCCCTCTGCAATAAGCAAAAATGTGTACATTATCCCCAGAGCAATTCTGCTGAGCTGCTGGTGGTTTGGGGGATTTTTTTTTTAATTTTAGTAAAAGCCAATCTGCCTTCCATTTGTTTCTACCCTAATGAGCCTTGCTTCCAAATTGTTTTAATTGCTGAGCAATTATCCATTACATACAATGATCCCATCCTGGCAAATGGCTGGTGTCACTGAAAGGTATTTTGAGCCAATGAACACATGTTTACCCTGAGTGCTAAGATGTTGAATGGAGCCTGTGATTTCGAATATGGTGTGCCACTGAGCAGCCTGAAATCTCTACCCAGAGCCTGGTGAGCTCACAGATTGGAAAAGGAAGCAAGCTATCACTTCGAAAGACAGGGAAGGAGTGAAGGGTAGGGGAGAGATTGGTGGTAGGTCACCAAGATGGCATCAGCCCTGCCCACATGGTTGCTGCACAATGTTGCCATCAAGTCTAGAGTGGCCATGCTGGGCACCTAAATCCAATAGCAAAGTTCTGAACTAAGAGTTTACAGGAGTCATTGTGAGCTGTCCTTGAGTCAACCTCACCTCCTGGAGATATAGCCATGTTAGTCTGTAGAATTAGTATGTAGAGAGATCTTGTAGCACCTTTGAAACTAACTGAAAGAAAGAAGTTGGCAGCAGGAGCTTTCATAGACTTCGATCTACTTCCTTAGATGCATTTAGTCACTGAAAGCATCTGAGGGAGTAGACTGAAGTCTATGAAAGTTCACATTGCCAACTTCTTTATTTCATCTAGTCTCAAAGGTACTACAAGATCTCTCTACATACTCATGGAGACTCTGTGGATGAGACATCTCAATTGCCTGTAAAAAGTCCTTGTTATGTGCCTCCAAATCAACTCCAACTTATAGTGACCCTGCCATAGGAGTTATGTGGCAAGATTTATTTAGAGGAGGTTTGCCATTGCCTTCCTCTATGGCTGAGAGAAGAGAACTTGCCCAATGTCACCCACTGGATCTCCATGGCCATGTAGGGATTCAAACCCTAGTCTCCCAGATTCCCAATTCAGCACTCAAACCACTATACCACACTGACTCTTTTTATGTACTTTTCAGTCAACTCTGAGGCTGCCTCTGCACTGCAGAAATAATGCAGTTTGACACTGCTTTAAATGTCATGGTTCCATCCTATGGAGTCCTGGGATTTGTTGCGGCACCCAGCGGTCTCTAAATAACTCGCAAAACTACAAATCACAGAATTCCATAGTATTGAGCCATGGCAATTAAAGTGGTGCCAAACTGCATTGTTTCTGCTACGCAGATGAGACCCTAGTTGTCTTTTTGCAGGCAGCTGAAGGTGTTTTTGTTATGGAGCAGCTGACTTTGAGTTATTTTGGCAGTGTTCTCATAGGGTTTCCTTGGCAAGATGTATTCAAGGGGGATTTGTCATTGTCTTCTTCTCAAATTGACAGAGTATGACTTGCTCAAGGTCACCCAGTAAGTTTCTGTGGCTCAATAGGGAACCCAAACCCTGGTATCCCAGAATCCAAGGCTGCTGCCAGACTCCAGAACTAATGCAATTTGAACCATTTTTACTGTCATGGCTCCATTCTGTAGAATCCTGGGATTTGTAGTTTGGTGTGGCACCAGAGCATTCGGACAGAAAGGGATCAACATTTCACAAATGTAGAAATTCTGCAATGTAGATGCAGCCCTAGTCCAACATGCAAAACTGGCTCTCAAGGTCTACTCTATTTGGGAATAAAATTGGATTTATCTGAGAGGTGGACAAAGTGAAGACCAGGGGCTATGTGTAACCCTCAGGTCTGGTTAAATGGCTCCATCCAAACATATTTTCTTTGGCAAAAGAAAGAGTCAATTCCCTCATCTGGAAACAGCCAGGAGTAGCAATTTATTTTTAATGTGAAGTTCTAGGCTTTCATGGCCGGCATCCATAGCTTTTTGTGGGTTTTTCAGGCTGTGTGGCCATGTTCTAGAAGAGTTTCTTTCTGACGTTTCGCCAGCATCTGTGGCTAGCATCTTCAGGTTCCATCCTATTGTAGATCCGGTTGGCCTGTGGTGATTTGAAGGTCCTTTTTGCTATGAGAAATTGTGGTATGGTATCTGTGTCTCTGCAGCGTAGCAGGAAAGTTAGTGAGCAGAGTAGATGTGCTTTCCTGGTCAGGAGTTTTTCCAGTCTCCGGGTATCTTAGAACAGTTTCTCTGAAGATGCTAGCCACAGATGCTGGCGAAACGTCAGAAAGAAACTAATTTATTTTTAGGTTGCAGCCTTCTCCCTAAGCACTGTTTAACATTTCTTAAATGGCTACTTCTGCTTTGGTTTCCAATTTTTTGGTTCAAAGGACAGATCTCAGGGAAAGAAAATTAGCTCTCAGTTTATGCTAAAGCTGCCCACTCCTGATTTAGTCCATAATGCTTTGTAGGACATTGAGGGAAAACAAG